TTGGTGTTAATGATTGAATCAACCACACAAGTAGTAGTCAATTTAAACAGCATTGTTTTTAAAGAATTTATTCAAAATGATATTATTAAATGTATAAAATTTAATGTTTTTTAATGTTGCAATTTTTTTGATACATCAATCTCAGTCCAAAATCAATCATATTTATATACTTTATTTCTTTTTTTGATAAAAAATAAATTTATCCATTTAGTAGATTCAAATAGATTTTATTAGAACAAATGGTACACTACAGCAAAATTTCAAAGAAACCAAGTGTATCAATTACACATAAAAATATTTAGCTTGTAGCCTATCCTGTAGAATATGCATGCAAAATTTCGTGTTTCCTGATTTTTCTATTTATTGATTGAAATTTCGATAGAAACTTTGCACGCGTAATTTATAGGGCCTGGTTACTAGGCCACAAACCACATTGTCAACCCGTTATTCCATTCAAAATTAATATTAATATTAAGTTTAATATCAGGTATTAGTTAGTAATTTGGTTTTAACGGGGTGGATTTACCGCTTCTGGAACCAATTTTGGTTTAACAGGATTGACTACGTAGTTATGTTTAAAATAAAAAACTGTTTTACTGCTTTAGAAATAAAACAATAAATTTTCACAAATTCTTCTTTTGGATTCTTGTTTTGAAACTTTCATGAATATTGAAATCATGAATTAGTATTATTAAAAAAAGAAATAACAAAAAGAATAAAAAATTCTCTTTTTCAACAGGTTTAGTTTTTGTTTAATTTCTTTTGGCATATTTATTATAAATAAAATATTTATTGAATTGAACAATATTTAGCATGTGAAATATTAATAAAATAACAAGAATTATCCCAAGACCAGAACGTTTACTAAGTATTGACACAAAAAATAATTTATTTGTTTGAGCATACAATTGTTGATTGACCAATCAAAATCGTGAATTTGGTAAAAATAAATGTTGATTTGGTTCATTTTGTCAACAATCACTTCACCAACGGTTATTTGAATTTAAGAAGTTGGAAGCAACTATGCGACAAACCTTTGAAATGGTCTAATAAATTAAATTGTACTACTCGAAAATGTATTTAAAGGGTTGGTTTCCGACTTGGTTGAAGAATAACTCTCTTCCTAACTCTTCTCTTGACCATATCTCTCGACATAACCTTCATATTTTCAAAACCACCTCGATATAACACAACAATAAACGAAATGATTGTCAATGAAGTAAACGCGACCGATTTAAGATATCAGTTGTTCACGATCAAAAACTCGAGTTTTTTTTGCTCTTATGGTAATCCATCCACGAGCAACCTAATGCGTACGTACAAAGGAAACAGGGGAAGTCAAGATGTTGTTGCTAAATTAGGGATTTAACTTTTACGCGGTTTTTGCTTTCACATGACGTAAAAGTTGCTTTACCTTATTTGGATACGACTCATAATAAAAAAGTATGGTATTTCTCAACTATTTTATTTTAAATCCAAAAAAAACATTTTTATTGCGAATTCTTTATTGTTATTATAATTAATTCGGTTTTGCATGCTGCAGAATAACAAGTGATCTAACTTTGTATATAGCATTACCTGCGTGAAAAAACTTGTAAATGGTAATTATTTTTTAAATTTTGTCTCACCTCCATTCTTTTTCAAAAATGATATTACTATTTAAAATCATATTAATAAATATTGCTTATGGATTAAAATGGCTCATGATATTTGGCATGGTTGAACCATTATATTACTGGCTTTTGATTTATTTGTCTGATTATCTAATAAAAAAATTTATTTTCAAAGAAATAATTTTATTAATAAATAATTTCTATAGACATTTAGGAATTGAAGGAATCCAGAGTATATTTCAGTGGCAAACCTGATAACATATCGAGAAAAAATTAAAGAAAAAATAAATACAATAGGTATATCCAAATGACTGACAGAAGGTCAATATGTTAGATCTTTACCTAACGTGAGTGAATGGAAAAATTTTCTCAGATGCAAATTCAAAAATTATCAAAAGCAGAAGTAACTAAACCTCATCCACAAACTTCTATTCGGCTACCCTTCTTCAGATTCAAATATTCACATACATACAATGTGGGTATTTCTGTTGAAGGTCGACAAATGCAACATCGCCATCATGACTGAGCTGGGATGCTTATAAATGGTATTGGTTTCTCTCATCTACGTTTTTGAAAGTCCAAGGAATTTTGTTTATCCCTAAATTTCTTATTAAAAATGGTAATTTTTTTGCCGATCATAAAAGGATTGTCAATTAAAGATATTATATTCATCGAATTCATTAAAAAAAATCAAGATTAATTTTGCAAAATATATTTTTATTGTTTATGACTCAAGTATACGCGCTTTTAATTTGGAGTTTGTAAACTTTTTCTTTCAAAGTTATTATTGTAAGTGTTTGAATTTATGCACTTGATATTTTAAGCCATTGTTTATCACATAAACAGTAATCTCTTTAACATATTTATTTCAAGGATGAAGATGATTGTTTTTTATTTTTATTTTTATTTTTATTTTTATTTTTCTTTGATGACGAAGATGATGGAGTTGATGATGATATCCCAAACGTTCTTTCTTTTGGGAGATGAAGATAAGTGCACTTTTATTAATTCAAAACATAAGAAAAATTGGATTAATTAAAATAATAATAATATTTTTCAAAAGATTGATTGATTGATCAATATACAAACCTTTCTCTTATTACATTGTCCGTTTTTTGCAAAACTAAAGCAATAATCAATTTTGACTCCAAGTTCTTCACATTCTCGTAATGATAAATGTGGATGATAACACTAAATAGTATAAATTTTAGTTTTGCAATTGATTAGCTCGTTGAATGAATAGTGGTAATGATAATGATAATGATAGCATAGATGATAATTACATTTAATCTTTCACACTCTCCATTCATTATAAAGTCATGACAATACGATGGCGGTCTCGTATCAGTTGTACGAATTGGGAATGTGTCGGGAACTTGTTCTAGTGGACCATTCCATTTTAATCTGACAAATGGTATAGTTTCACGATCTAGACTGGGCGGTTTTGAATGAGCTTTGTGAAGATCATAAAAGTGTGTTTCATATTCTGGTATATTAATTGTTGTACCATCAGCATCATCGTCAGTTTCTATATCCATTGGGGTGGTGGTAGCGGAAGCAGTTGATGCTTGTGTTTCAATCGCTTCGTTATTTCTATAGATTGTTGCGTGTTGTTCACCTTTTAATTTGGATAGTAAATATGTTCCTGCTGGTAGTCTACAATAATAAAAGATTATCATATTAATTGGCTAACGCTAGCGGCAGAAATTAATTGATTAATTAATCAAGTTTACCCTTTTAAATTCTTCATAATATAATGAATCATATTGCTGTATGGTGTAGGCCTGAATCAAAATTTATAATGCATACAAGTATTATTAAAATAAACAAATAAACATGATTCTATATAGTTTATTCTATCGTTCTATCATTTACCAATTTCCATCCGGAATGATGTCAATCATTTTCCTCCATTCAACAAGATGTAATTCATTGTTTAGAACATTAATTCTACCGAGCATTAAATGTGCATCTGGTCGAATATAATTATAAATCCACCAACAGGCTCTTTCCAATATCGTAGTCTCCTCTAATCCAGCATCCAATTGATATTCCAATTTGGTCTTTACGCCTAATATTCGAGCCTTTTTATCATTATCGCAACTTTTAATAAATGCTTGTGCTTTACATCTTATTAGAACATTCATACCACCAAAGTTCCAAAAATTGTACATTACACTATCATTATCGTTATCGTTATGAGATGATAACGATGACGGTGGTTCATTATTTTCATTTAAAATTTTAAATTCGTCAATATTTTTTGTTGTTGTTGGTGCTGCTGCTGCTGTTGCTGTTGTAAATTCAATTAAATTATAATTGTTTAGTATAATAATTATTGAGATTATTATTTCAAAAAAAAATTTTTTTTTAAATTCACCTGTAGGCTTAAAATTCAAAATATCATTAATATTCATTTTTGATTTCAATGCTATGCTTTTAAACGCTGTATTATAGAATATTTGATTCCTAGACCTTGGTGTTGATTTTTTTTTTACAAGTGGTTTATCAATATAAACAGTTTTAATAATTGATCCATCATCTGAATTTTTTAGTATAGAAAAATTTAATTAGTTTTTCTTGGTATTAAAATAAAAAATTATTAAATAAAATTATTAATAATTATGAGATTGTTATTATAATATATATATTTATTTACATGATTTTGACTCAACCACATGAAGAGGAAGCTCTAACTCAATATCCGAAGATGCTTGTAAAGATACAAGCGCAACAAGCCCGCTTGACGATATTACGATGTCAACTTTATGTTTAGAAGCCATTGATGGAATTAAAGGATCTTTACTCACAACCGGTAAACTCTAACATAAAAATAAAAGATTAATATATAAATTTAAATTCAATTTTAATTTTAGGAGTTGTATAAATTACCATTTTCTTCCAATAATCCGTTTTTGGTAAATCTTTATTATTGTCGCTGTCATTATTTTCATCGTTTTTTTCTTGAGAATTTTCTTGATTTGATTCATTTGTATCCGTATGGTTGCCATTAATATTATTTGAAGTGACAATATTTTGATTTATTGTTTTCTTATTATCGTGCCAATACTCCTTTTCTAATGGTATTGGAATTGGAGATGCAAATGGGGGAATTTCAAAATTATAACATTTTCCCTATAAATAAATAAATTATTATATCACATATTATTACTTATGAGTAGATTTTGTTTCATTAGCAAAATACATTATATATATATATCACTTACTGTCATGTAAATTTGCTGTACAAATTTTAACACAGGATCACCAGGAACAGGTGGAGGAAGAGCAAGTCCAATTGCGCTTAAAACTTCATAAAATCTCTAATGATAACAACGATGATCATAATTTATTAAAATATAATTAGATAAGGATAATATCATCATCATCATATTTATTATTGTTATTATTACTTACAGGGTAATCCTTGACAATTTGTTTTCTCTTTTTTGTAAAATGTCGCTGAAAAAAAAAATTTGCATAAATATACACAAATACAGATAAATAATCAATTATGTCGAGTAGGTGTCAACTTACCTCAACTTGGTAAGCAATTGCTTTATCTAAATATTTTACTCTCTCGATTGATCTATTGTATTGCCATCTCATATAATCCTCCTTCTCCTCTTTAAACTTTTCACCGAATTCTTGAATGAATTTTCTGTCAATTTCACCAACTAATGATGCCTATAGAACAAAAAAAGATCAATTAATAATATGATAATATAATATTATATAAACGATTATTTATTTATTTTCTTACATTTACAGAATAGAGAGCATTCACTTGCAAGAATCTAAGATGTTGCTCTTGTGACATTGAAGAGAATGGAATTGTTGGTACTTGTTGTAAATTTGTATTTGTATTTGTTTTTGGTTTCTTTACTTTTTGAATTAAACTTTTAATCTCGCTTTTAGGTTCTTCATTCTTTCTTTTATTTGAATTCGTGGTTATATTTTTGGAAGCAGGTTTTTCATTTGTTAATATTCCTTTTTTTTAATAAAATAATTTTAATAAATGTATACAATTAAATCATTGACACAATAGTGATGATGATAATAATGATAATAACTTACCATCATCAGGTAAAGCTCGATGATCAACAACTAAATTTTTAGATTTATCCTTAATCTCAACAGTATTATTAGATTTAGTAGTAAATAATTCTTCTGGATCATCAAAAAAAGAAGAAGAAGATGATGATTCTTCAAATATTTCTTGTAAAGCTGATATATTATCGTTGTTGTTTTTGTTTTTATCATCATCGCCAGCATCGCCAGCATCGCTGTTATTATTAATTTCATTGAAGTTATTCTTAATATCATTATTGCTAATACTGTTATCATCATCGTTACTTTTATTACTGTTGTCGTTGTTGTTATTTAATTTTCTAACTTCAATAGATTTTTCACAGGTTCGAATAAAATTGAAATATGAATATTTTTCAAAAGCTTCTTCCGTGATAAAATTAATTGAGCTAAAAAGTTGTTTGAAATTATTTTATTATTATCAATATATCAATTATTATTGTAATCATTGTAATTATTAGTTCTTTATAATTAATTTTACCTCGTTAAGTTGCTATTGTTAGCAATATTTTCTTTGTTTTTTACTGTGGCAATGCTAAAATTTTCATGATTTAGAACCATATTGTATAATTTTCGATTATTTTTTTGATTGATTGATTTGATCCATACACGAAGATCACAATTTATTATTATTATCATCATCAAAAAAAATTTTAATTCCATTCACAAATCTTTGTAAATTAAAAATTACGATGTATTTTGATCCAACTTTAAATCAACAAGAAGAAGAATACCACCAGCAGCAGCAGCAACAGCAGCAACAACAACAACAATTACACACAGAAGAAGAAGACTTAACAATAACAACTCAAAATTATATGAATTTTTCAATAGCAACATCACCAAACAATAATAATAGTAATAATATTTTATGCAGATTTGGGGAAAATTGCACTAATGCTAATTGTTTATTTGTACATTTAAGTCCTGCAGCGCTTGGTATGTCAGGCTTATTAAATAATAATGTTAATATTATTGATTTGCCTTGTAAATTTGGGATCCATTGTACAAATCCGAAATGTCGTTATACACATCCTTCTCCTGCTACTACATGTGAGTGGTTTTTTTTAAATAACAATAATAATAATAATAATAATTAAAATTTATATACTTGCACGTGTTTTCAATATTTAGTTACATCACAAGAACCTTGTAGATATTATCCAAATTGTCAGAATCCAGCATGTCCTTACTTACATATTGATTATAATAGGTTCGCAATCATTATTATTCTATTATTTTATCACTACTTATTTCTATTATATTAATGTTTATACTTTTTATTAGTGAGTACAGTAATGTTACTACTAATAGTGGTACTATTAACAAGGTACCAACACCTTGTCGTAACGGAGCTAAATGCACAAGGCCTGGATGTCATTTTCTTCACCCATGGGACATGGAAGCAGACGCAACTGCTATACCAGTTAGTAGCTAATTTATGGAAATTAATTTTGATTTCAAATAAAATAATTTCACCAAGATTATTTATTTATTTATTTAAAAAAAATTTTTTTTATAACCACGATAAAGTGTAAATTTGGATATAATTGCAAAAGAGCAGATTGTATGTACGATCATCCAATGGGTAAGAAATTGCCCACTCATATTTCAGAAAGAACATTTGCGTTACCAGAACAAATGACGGAGAAGATTTTACCAATCGGTAGCGGTGGTGGTGACAATAAAGACATTAAAGATCAAGAAAAAATATTGAATCGATTAAATAATAACGTGAGAAATTATCACAGCAACAACAACAACGACAACAACAATGGTGGCGGTGGTGGCGGTGGTGATGATGATGATAATAATACGTTTCAAGAGAATGGAGATGGTAAATTTATAACAAGTAATAATAATAAATTTTCCGAAATAAATCCAATAAGTAATTATAACCAAAGTGGCGGTAGAGGAGGCGGTGGAGAACAACATAACAGCACATTACAAACCAGGACAAACGAAGGCAACTCTAATGAGGAAGAGTATGTTTTTGATTTGGATTTTGACGCCGACGTTGTACTAACTGATGACAACCTTAACTAACAAAAATCAAATAAAATTAAAAATTATTTATATATGCTCATATTAGTAATAATTAATAATATATAATTATATAATAATAGCGTTTTAGAAAAGCCTTCTTTTTATTCATTCATATATTTAGTAAGATAGCGAGATAGATCAACCTATCAATATTAAAATAATAAAAAATCATGATTTATCACATGGGTTTATAGAAAATCCTTCAACACATGTCCAGATTGAAAATGTAGTTCCCGATCCTTATTTGTAAACATTTGCTAATTATTTGCTAATTTTCGGTTTTGGTCTTACCTAAAAAGAAAAAATAAATAAAAAATGTGATGATACGAATTGAGTATGGTGTGATTAATGAGTAGTTAAAAAATATTCGAACTTAATATTAAATTAATTAATCAGTTAAATTACGATGTTTCTTATAAATAAAAAACCATTCCGGATTTTTTTACAAAAAAATCTTCTTTTTAATTTTATTGAAAAAAATGAATCATATCAATAATAATTTTGGTAGTATAAATAATCGTGAAAATAATATTGAACATTCAAAAAAATCATCCGGTCATATTCAATTTGACGAACATGAAGGGAGATACGGCGGCTTAGGAATGGGAGAAGAAACCCCTTTGTTAAAAAAACCAAGACCAAGTTCCGTACCACTGCCCTTTGATAATTCTCTACGGAAAAAGCAACCACAGTATTTTCAACAGAAACAACAATTACAGAGACATTCTTTATCAAATAGTTACACTGGTTTAAGAAATCTACAAGATTATGTTGTAAGTATGAATAATTTGGACTCAAATGAGACAAATTCCTACGATGAAACCGACTCGGACAACGGTACCGCCAATGCATCCTCCAGCGCCACAACACTACAGCAACAAAATGATGCATGTTTCCCTATGGCCGAATCTGCTGGATTTAAACGACCTACAGGGATTGATTACGAAGCTCTCGAGAACTATGTGAAGGTGGAGAATGAAAAACGTCGAAATCAACAAAGACGTCGACAAAGAAGATTGAGCGAGCCGGCGTCCGCATTTGTTAGAAAGAAAAGTAATAATCATTGTCCCAATTTGGAAATTAATAAGGTTGCGATTTTTTGTTCTAATTAATCAATTTATTATAACTAACAAACAATAATAAAATGAATTTATTAATAATATTTATGTTTATAATATCTATTAGCATAACTCAGAAATACTATACAGACTTACGTTTTATTCTGCAATACATAGTACAGTACATGCACGTACATTGGCAGAAATACCATCAGCAGATTCATCATTATCAGAAATGTTGAAAGATGGATGTTGGTGGATTGATGTATTATCACCTACAGATGAAGAAATGAAAGAATTTGGTAAGGTAGTATTTTTCACGATTTTTTAAAATGGATTTTTTGATGTTGATACCTTGAAATATAAATATTAATATCTAATATTTTATGTTATTAATATTAATATTTATTATTTTTTTTTGATAATTTAATTGAATTTAAAAGATATTCGGTATTCATCCTTTGACTATTGAAGATATAGAGACAGAAGAGACACGCGAAAAATGTGAAATATTTAAAGACTATTATTTCATTTGTTTTCGATCCTTTGATCAAGATCATTATTCTTCGACCTATTTACAACCTGTGATTATTTATATTATTGTAATGAAAGAAGGAGTTTTATCGGTATGTTTTATCTATTATTATTTTATCATCATCGTTGCTGTTGTTTTATTCTATATCGTATTAATTTATTATAATAAAATAGTTTCACTTTCATCCAACACCACATCCAGCAAATGTTAGACGTAGAATAAGACAATTAAAAGATTATATAACTGTCACACCTGGTAATTTATCAAAAGATAAAAAACGAACCCGATTATCAATCTTAATTCTAATAATAATAATGATTATATTTTTTTAATTGTAATAGATTGGATAAACTATGCAATAATTGATGATGTGACAGATTCATTTGCACCACTTATTCAAAAGATCGAAATTGAAGTGGATTCTATTGATGAATTAGTGTTGATGCTCAAGGAATGTGAACAAACTGATATGTTACGTAGGATAGGACATTGCCGTAAAAGAGTGTTGGGATTATTGAGATTGTTAGGAAGTAAAGCAGATGTTATGAAGGCATTAATAAAAAGATGTTATGAATTGAGATGGGATGTGTTTATTAGTAATGAAATTTTATTATACCTAGGAGATATTCAAGGTACTTACCTCTCTCTAAATTGGTATTAATTTTATTTAATTTATATATTAATTTATATCAATTTGCATGTTTTCTAGATCATGTCATTACAATGGTCCAGAATTTGAATCATTATGAAAAAATACTTTCTAGGTCACATTCGAATTATTTGGCACAAATTTCAATTGAAATGACAGAAGCCAATAATCAAATCAATGATGTTTTATCTAGACTTACAGCACTAGGAACCATTTTAATTCCGATGAATCTTGTGACTGGTAAATAATATAAACAATAATTAAAATTGGTTTTTTAAATATTTAAATACATTAATTATACGATGTTGATAATAAATAGGTTTATGGGGGATGAATGTTCCGGTCCCAGGACAAGAAAGTGAAGGCTTGACATGGTTTATTTCGATATTAGCAGGAATAGTTGTGTTTGCTATATCAGGTGTTATAATGGCTCATAGAACTGGAATTGTCTGATATCAATCTATCGATCAATAAATAAATTTTATTATGTTGAAATTCCAGTCAAAATCCTTAACCATATCATCACGAAAACCAGTTGCTGACTTTGTGAGGTAGTTTGTTATCATTATTTCAGCATGTGCAATAAGAATATCTATTTATTTATTTGACATTTAACAAGTGTGAACAGAAATTTTTTATATTAATACTATAATATTTTTTTATTTTTTTCTGTAATTTTTTTAGTATTATTATTATTTTTTACAAAAGTAAAATTGTGAAAATACTAATTAATAATAATACTACTACTACTACTACTATTATTATTATTAAATATTAAAATAATTAATAAATTAAATTAAAAAATCTACATATATATATATTGTATATGAATATATGAATATGTATTACTCATATATACATAAATAACATACATACATACATATATATATACACAATATATATATACATATATATACTACACTTCTATGAATGAAATATATATAGAAATATACCAAAAAATTTAAAATGATGAAAATTTATCCCTAAAAATATCATTACATGGTTTACCATATGGTTCCCTTTCTTCAGGATAAACATCAAAATTACTTGCATCACCTTCACCTTTAACATTTGGAATATAAGGTGGAATGAATTCTCGTTTTAATAATTTTTCCCAATCAACGCTCTTAAACCATTGATGATTTTTAATATCTTTACTGCCACCTCTTAGATTACCATATCTTTTTGATAAATCAGCAGTCAACAAACGTTTTAGTAAATCTTTTGCTAGCGGATCAAAGTATGACGGATATTTTATTTTACCAGCCAAGATTTTCTCGTATAGCCTCATATGATCATCATCGTAGAATGGAGGATGACCTGCCAACATTTCAAATATCAATACACCTAATGAATACCAATCAACTGCTTTGCCATAACCTTTTGACTGAATTATTTCTGGAGCAAGATAATCAGGTGTACCACATAAAGTCCATGTGATGTCGGGCACATGTTTGGCAAATCCAAAATCCGTTATTTTTATATGTCCGTTACGATCCAATAATAAATTTTCGGGTTTAAGATCACGATAAATTATATCTTTTGAATGTAAATACTCGAATGCAAGTATAACTTCTGCTGCGTAAAATTTTGCAACATGATCAGGAAATCTCTAATTAGGAATAAAAACCGAAATCGGAACCGGGGATTAGAATTTTGCAATTGTGATTATAAATAAATAAATAAATAATTTACACCAACTCACCTGAGATTTTCTTAATATACTAAATAATTCACCCCCAACGATATAATCCATCACCATATATAAATTAGCACTATCCTGAAATGTCCCCCATAGATTGATCAAAAAAGGATGTTTTACTTGTTCTAAAATATGTTTTTCATTATTCGTGTGTTCAACTTGTTTTAAACGTACAACTTCTGATTTTTTTAGTGCTTTCATTGCATAAAACTTATTATTATATTTTGATTGTACGAGATGTACTCTACCAAAAGAACCTGTTCCTAGGGTGCGACAAATGTTAAAATCTGAAAGTGTATATTTGGCATTTGGATTAGGAGGTCCAATTTGAATTGATAGGTTGGCATTATTGTTGTTGTTGTTGTTGTTGTTGTTGTTGTTGTTGTTGTTGTTTTTGTTGTTGTTGTTGTTGTTGTTGTTATTGTTGTTACTATGAGAAGTGGAAGAAGTATGCGAGTTATTATTGTGTCTATTAATTTTTGACATTTCCTTGGAAGAAATTTTGTTACTATCGCTACTACTACTACTACTACTACTACAACTACTATTATTATTATTATTACTATTATTATTATTATTGTTATTATTATTATTATTATTATTATTATTATTATTGTCGTTGTTGTTATTGGTTGCTTGTAATTTGGTAAAAAACTGTTGTTGTAATGAAAAAGAATTATAAGATTGAGGTAAATTATTCACAATATTGTTGTTGTTTAGATTTGAAGAACATGGGATGGTGGGAGTAGAAGGATGAGGTGGCGACGCCGAAGTGGTTTTTTTTGTGTTTGTAGTAGAAGTATTTAAATTATTATTATTGGAAGAAGGAATATTAATTAAATTTTGATTTTTTTTTTGCATTTTTTAAAATTAATCATATTTATATATATATATATATATATATATTATAAATAAATAATAAATAAAAAAAAATATATATTTAGATTTGTTAGATACAAATAAATAAACTATTTTAATAAATATCAATCATGCTAGTAGAATGAATGATTTTCGAAGGAATTAAAGAATCTCTAAAAAATTTATAAAGAAATAATAAAATCAAAAAAACAAATTTTTTATTAATATATGTGGGATGTAACCAGTAAACGCTAAAAATTAATTCCGGAGTCAATTATTAATATATTAAACCCGAGTACTTGTTTACTTCTTCAAGTGGGAATACATTGCACCATGCGTCACCGGAAAGACAAATAACTGACTCGTTTTATATAAAGGTATACCTATCTGTACAAGTAATAAAATACTAACAGTCTTTGAAAACGTAAATCTCGAAAATATCGAAAATGCAAAGAATTCAAAGAATGGAAAGAATGTAATGGTAAAAACAGCAAGTAGTATTGATGGATAAATCACGTAATATCACGCAGTGGGGACGTTAAATAATACGTGCGTGTTATCAGTATATGGAAGTAACAAGTTTTTTTTATTTATATTGTTTATATTGATTGACATTATTATATTTTACTTATAATAATACCACATTGTTTTGAGGATTAAAATCGAACAACACACTAACAAAATTTTGTTACTATGCTAAATAAATATATTTATATTCTTCATAAAACAATTTCTTTATAAACAACCATTATTTGCAATTTAATAAAGATTTATTAAAAAACACACCAATTAAAATTCAAATCTTTAAAATATTAAAGCAGAAGCGCATCAACTTGGAGAGGTGCGTCAACTTGAAGATAAGAATCGTGTCCCATGATTAGTGTGGAAGGAAATTGGACATTTAAATTACCAAAAATGATTGTAATTGGGGCAAACTAACCCATGGCCATATTTGCAATTTCATTGTTATTATATTGTTATCGTCGCGCTATTACTATTACCATTACTATTATTATAAATGATTTATGTGTGGGTGTGGATAATTAGATAATCACAATTGTCATTTATTTATTTTTTGTAATGATAAAAATAAAAGCATGTATGCTATTAATAATTATATAAAAATTTTATTTGCTTAAATATTTCAAGCGAGTACCAATTTTTTATAGAATATAAAAATAATTTTAACTAACCTTGTGACGAGAACAACTTTTTTAAGTACTGCAAAGAATTTTCAATATAACAACAAGGTTAGAGGACTAGTAAAAAAGTAATAATATGTTGTACAGATGTTATTAAAACAATATAACACCATTATTCTCGTCCGATCAAGCGAGTGAATGCATGCCAATGCATCTAGAGAAGAAAGTGAAAGACGCGTAGAAAATATATTTAAGATACTGTAAAATCATTTCCCATTTTTATCAAAAATTTTAACAGATCAATTATTATTAAACAATTAAATAAGTGCTTGCCTTTTTTTTATTTATTTATGATGGTATTTATATCATAATTATGTGCCTTTATAGATTATTAACTAATATTAACTGCGTTTTATGCAGGACTTGATCTTTTTGTTTTGTGGAGAGCATTCATTAACTGCTTAAATCGCATTTTTAATTGTATTATATTGTTAATAATAATAAATAAAATTAAATATATTCTTTCATTTTTTAGAGATCTTGGCATAATTTTTGTATTTTATGTTCATTAAAAAAAATAATATCCAAGGATTAGTTTCTATTCGTATAAAAAATTATATATACCTTGTCAAGTAATATTTTTTTGAATTAGAATAAAAATGATAAAAATTTTTTTGGAAAAAATGTACATCCTTAGTTTAGTAACGATCGTCTAAATTCTCTCACACAGATTGATTCTTCATTCAAATGACAGTTACAAAATAAAAAAATATGCATTTTTACGATAGTTCACAGATCCCATTGTCTACTAATAAACGCACTATTATCCCACAAGATATTGGAAACCTTGCCAAGAATAACGGAATTTGTGTTGAATGTAAAAATCCAAACACAGGTTTTACTTGGTGTAATAATTGTGATGCCAAAACTGCAGAAGAGAAGCTTGTTTCAAGTGGAAATGATATCATTGATAATTTTATAAAAAATCATGTGAAAAAGGCCAATGACTATGAAGAGTATTGGGAATGGATTCCGTCTGAGCGCATTGAAGATATTGGAATCATAAATAATCTATTTATGGGTACATGGTTAGCTGGAGAAAAAATTTTAATTGATCAAAATGATGCGTTCACAAAAGCTCGGGCAGGTTCCACTAAAGTTATTTTGATTATTATTGATGAAGCGCATTTACCGAATTTGATTAAAAATGCAAGTAATATTGTTTTATTATCATCTATGTGTGATTCAACGTTTATTATTATTATTTATTTAATATTATATAATAGGCAAAGGCAAATTACAATCGTCGTTCTCAAGATCCCTCATTTCCAAAAATTTATGGACTGTCATTTTTACCAGTCTTTCAAAAATATGCATATGTGATTGAATACAATCGAAACCTTGATATTTCTAAAATTAGTCAACTTCTAAGAGTAAAAACAAATCGATTGCAAAGGATTTCTGAGAAAATTAATAGAACTGTCCACCAGATTAATTGTCGTTTGCAAACAGTTTTCAAGTACATTAAATCATCATCAACTCGAAAACAACTATTATTATCATTATTTATTATCTTTGCTTCATATTATATTGGTCACATTGCATATAATAATACTTCTCCTATAGCTGTTGATTATTTTTGTAGAATAGTTCCTGGATCAGAAAATTATTTTCCTAGAACTTGCATGATTTCTCTTCCTAACTTTAAAAGACTTATTGATTTACAAGTTGAAACTCAAAATGAGTTGATCAAACATATCTCAAAATCTGGTTCCTTCTCTAACGAACCTCTAGCGAAACAAATAAAAGAAATGTCATTCAAGGATCTTTTAAGAGTTGTAGAATATTCAAATTTGGACTCTGCGCCGATCTTAACAGTTTATTTGAAAAAATTTATTGATTGGGATCATAAAATAAACAAGAATCTACGAGAGCTGCAAATCCAATCACAAGCCTCTTTATCAATGCTTTATATAAGATACTCATTAACAAAATTAGAAGATATGAGGGATGAAACATTGACGCCACGTCACCTAAAAGTTATAGATAGAATTTTTCGTCGACTTATAGTTGCTACTGATAACCATCTTAAAAAATTGATTACATCAACTAATGATATTTTATTTGGGTAAAGATATATAAACTTTTATTTATTTATCTATTATAAATTCATTCACTATAAGGTAATCAATCATTAATAAATAATGATTATTGTACGTGCTTTCAATAGAGTATTGAATTCGCAAGCTATTCAATCAGAGATTGGTAGCATTGTTGAAAAAGAAAAGGATATAATTGTAAAAGATCACAACAATGTGATTTCCGAATTGTGGTCAATTTTTGATGGTCAAATCAATACAATTATTTTTGACAGAAACTTGAAACTTCTTGAAGAATTTGACGATAGAAAAAAATTGATGGTTGATTCAATCATGAACATTAAACATCAGTTAAAGTTATTTGAAACGCAATTAAACGTTTTAAGCAGTGGAATCGACAAGCCACTCCTCGTAGATATTCCATTTGAATTGCATTTGGCAAGTATGAAAAATGCATTGTTACTATTAAATAATTGGAAAAAGTGAATGATTCGTTTAATTTGATTACAAGTTTTCTTTTTTCTTTTTTCTTTCTTTTTATGTACATACAACAATATTTATCGTTTCTGTATTTCTCTAAATCTTTACAAATATGTGATTATAGTTTATTGCCTTTTAATAAAAAAAAATTCACAAAATAATTCTTGTGTTATATTATATAATTTATTATGATTTAGTCTTATCAGCATATTCACACACAATATACATATAGATATGTAATTAGACACAATCTTTTTTATATGTAACAATTCAGATATATGCTTCCAAGCCTCTTTAATTTCAACACCTTGAGGACTTACAATACAAAATTTATTACCGCTTTACACATTCTTTTTATCAATTCTGGAATTCCAACTTTCCTCCTCTGATTTGTTTTAAATTTAGTAATTCTATAAATCTGAAAAAATTTGATTGAAATTTAAATGTCCAAGCATTTTCTTAAATTCAATTCGTATAACATTAAAATTATGGATTTACAGCTTACTAACGTGTTTTTATCTCCCAATTATAAAGAATCCAAAATATTGGAATTTCACAGTCTCTGTTAATGATGTTAAAGCCATCGATAGATTTTCCAACCTAATAATAATAACAACAACAATAGTATGAAAAGCAGATAATCACAAATCAAAATGTATAAATTAATTTTGTTCAATTAATTACTTTATACTCTTACCAGTTTTCATTTCATTTGTTCCAACTTTACCATAAATAAATGCATAATGAACAGACAATCCATTCAATCGACAATATTTTTCAATTGACAGTGGTGACTTATTTTCTTTATTTTCTTGATTATTTATTTTAAAACTCGCAACTTTTTTATTGGATTTTATTACATCTAATATTTCAAAATGAATTTTATGATGATTAATTTTCAACCAACCAAAAATCATTGGTTACACGCAAAAATGAAAGTAGTTAATCAAGAAAAAAAGTTCAAAGTGGAGGACCTGGGCATCGATCCCAGTACCTCTCGCATGCTAAGCGAGCGCTCTACCATCTGAGCTAGACCCCCATTTTTAGCAAATAGAACCGCTAAAATAATTTATAAAGAATTTATTTAAATAATTATAGGAATTAAAAAAATTGCAAAAGCTGGAATAATTATTATTGATTAATAATAATATTGGAAATCTGTAATCAAGAATTTTTTGAGAGCAAAATCAAAAGGTGGAACGTTATGATATTCCGCGATTAGGGTTTCTTCTATTTCCCAACTCAAACGGAGACAGTAGATCATTTTTTACAAAAAAAAAATTTAATAATTAAAGATTACTTATTAACTTCTCTTTCTTTCACTCATGTTGGACCTTATAAATTAACAATAACGATCAATGATATAAAAAGACTTTAGATTCATTGTGTAATTCTAGAAAAAAATCAAAACAAAAAATGTTTGCTAAATTTATGCATTGAAAAAAAAAAACCAATGCTTTTTATGAAGAAAACTTGGCGAGAGTAGTGGCGTATCTATTGATCATCCAGATAATCAGTCAAACTAAAAAACCTTGCACTCAGATAATAGGTGATTACTCGATTACTCACCGAATATAATGGTTCCAAATGAATCGATGAAATTCGAACCAATGGTTCCATACTTCACTTCTTGTTCTTCATTGAACATATTGCACCGTGCCTGTTAAAGAAGTAATTGAAGAGGCATCATTTTCAACAATGCAATTATCGTCATTCATCATTGTTGTATTTATTATTTAAATTAAAACAATGAATCGTGCAACTGTAAATTATATTACTTTGTTTGTTATCGTTGTTAATATTAATATGCAGAATTTCTACTCGGAATACAAATTCTTATTCGAGTTATTCGTTTTGTTCGAATGTATTTTGAAAAAATCAAATTCATAACGAATAAAAAAATCATTCGAATAAACCTTATTCGAATAAGAAATCCTATTAATATGACATTAAAGAGAATCCGATTTGATTTAAATCGAATCACTTTAAAATTCGACTAGATTCGATTTGTTTGGAGAATAACCTACATTATCTAATTCTGAAGGCTGTGGAGATAAATGGTGTGTTATCGATTTACATGTATTAAAAAATTTTCATTCAATTAAAAACGTGGTGAATATCATTCGGCGGGTATAACCACTAGGCGAGAGCTTTATTAAATGGTCATACAACTTTCAAAATTATTGAATTATGTGTGTTTTTAACTGCTTTACAAACCTACCAAAAAATAATCAATAGTAATGATTTTTATTGTATAAAAACATCATCTAAAATGGCTGAAAACCTTGCAGATTCAAATGGTCAAATTTAATCAGAAATACGTAAAAGCCTTCCCACCCTCCCTGCTGCTAATGCTTCTAATAAAGCTGTTATATAGCATAAATTTTTGTGATTGGTAATTCTGTGGGAGATTTTCAATTGCATTATTTTAAAACTCATTTGTTGTATCTGGTGTTCTACAATCACTCACTCCAGAACCTTTTTTAGATCTTTTTTCCTGAGATGGTTTCATTGTACCATACAATTCGGCCACTCTTTTCCACCTTTCTGCATCACCATATCCCCAAAAAGTCATCAGAATATGTGGGTTGTACAAAAAGTTTGAGAAAATACATGTAACTTGATGACCTTTTCTTTAATAAAAGTAAAAGCGGGAATAAAAAACCCTTAAGCCACAATCTTTTAAATAAATAAATAAAAATCATTCAAATTGAGTCATTTGTTGTTAAGTTGTAATTTTTAAAGTTTACCAGTAGAAACAAATGGAAAATTCAAAATGTGAATACCAAAAGATACTACATTTTTGTTTGGAAAAATAGCAAACCAGCTAAAGGTTCTAATGCAATATCTTTAACATCTAATTATCATTGGATTGAAGCATTTGAAAGTGGAAAAATAGTGTTGAAGATGATTCACATTCCGGATGTCCTCAAGAACTTCCACCCCTGAAAACATTGCAAAAGTTTATGATTTAATTAGTGATGATCCTCATATGAGAATTACAGCTATTGAAGAGAATATAGGTATTTCTAGAGGAAGTATTCAAAGTATTTTACATAGTGAATAAAAGTTCATAAAATTTGTAAAAAATGGGTCCCACATGATTTAACTGTTGAAAATAAAAAAACATTTGGGTTGAAATTTCTAAGCAATTGTTAGAAATCCTTGATAATTGACTTAATAATATTATCACAGGTGATGAAACTCGGTTTCATTTTTATACTGTATCAAGTAAAGAATCAAATAAAACATAGAGAAAATTGGCTGCAAATTGCCAGAACTGGACAAAATGCTAAAAAAAGGATGTTTTGTGATTTTTTCTCAATTGAAGGTATTGTGGCAAGAATTGTTGTACCAAAAGGTCAGACTGTAAATGGCACATTTATAGAACAAATGTATTGCCTATTGTATTTTCAAAATATAAAGAATTAAAAAATAGAAAAACAGTAAGAAATGTGATGATGCATCATGACAATGCTGCTCCACACAAATCAAAAATTGTAACAGAGCATTTAAAAGAGGAAAAAATCATTTCACTTTCTCACCCTCCATATAGCCCAGATTTAGCTTCTTGTGACTTTCCTAGAATTAAAAAAGAGCTAAAAATAGTATTTTGATCATATTGAAAATCTTACATGTGCAATTCAGGCAATCACAGATGGCATAGCAAAAGAGGCTATCAAAAATCATTTGAAAATAGGAAAAATAGGCTACAAAAATGCATAGATAATGATGGAAACTATTTTAAAGGAAAGCATCGATTTATTTTAGATTTTCTAATCTTTTAGTTAGCCAATGTACAAGGCTTGTTTTTGTTGATAATTTTTAAAATTCAATATCTCAATAACTAACTGGTAAAAGAAAGTAACCTTTTTTTTATTTGAAATATGAGAAGAATTTTACTTTTATAAAAAGAATTTCAAATTTATTACACTTAAAATCATCAAGTATGTACCTTATGACAAAAATTTCCAATTGTTTTTGTTAATCTTTAAAATTTAATATCTCAATAATTAACAACCAAAAAAATATTTGTCTTTTTTATTTGAAATATGGGAACTCTTTCTTTTATTTAAAAAAAATTTCCAAATCAATTGCCTTCAAATTTATAAAGTTATGTGCATTTTCTCAAAACTTTTTGTACAACCAACATAATGCAAGGTCATGTATATGTCAAAAACATGATTGAATTTAATAGATATTACTGACAAAAATTGATTCTATTTTCTTCAAATCATGTTATTCTTCAATTGATCTTTTACTTTGTAATATAGTAGTATACACAAAATTAAAAATTCATTTAGACAAGAGTCCATTATTTATATAAAAATGAATAAAAGAAAATTGAACATCAAAAAAACATGCAACATTTTCTTCAATTAATTAATTGTGACATTAGGGCACTGACATATATTACCTAATATTTTAGGGGGTGGGAATAACAGAAAATCTTAGGTCACACATAATCTCATAAATAACATGATCATAATGGCTTCAGTGAAAGATCTGCATCTTTATAATTTGAATGTAAGTGTTTCAATTTGGGAATGATCTACATGTAAACCAATTGTCATTTGCACAAAAAATTGTATTACACTTTTTGTCTACAGGATGATATGGCAATTAATTCTCACATTCT